CAAAATAATTTTAAAATGAGCATATCTATAGAATTTCTAATACACAGTCTCACGTACTTTAGACAAAATTTTTTTTCTGTACAACGTTGCCATTGCTCGCTTTGAAATCCTTGAGTTTGTTAATCAAAAATTTATTAAAGTTTTACAAAATCTAAAATCGATAATAAAACAAATTCCAAATTTCAAATTTGGGCTTCCAGAGGCCAATATTCGCAGTAGCATTATGTCATTAAAAATTGGATGGCTCTAGGTACAGTTGTTTTATCACAATGCGAGAAACATACATACATTTATGCAGATTCTTCATTATTTAATGTCTTCAAATATAATACAGGAGGATAACATTCCTCCTGTATTATTAGGATAATACAGGAGGATAACATCAGGGACAAAGTCTTTTTGGACTAATAAATAATTGAAATTTGCTAAACCATATTTGAGCACAGCTAAAATTAATTAATTCCCTGAAACTTTTGGAGTACACAGAAAACTTCATAACGTGAAACGATTTAAGGTGTAAGTAAGGTATTTTAATTCGACCCTAAGCCTGGTGGAGGTACTGGCACTAAAGTGGTTATCACACCTACATTACACTTAAATTCTATTTCGTAATTCTTAAACAATTAATTTATCCAACTCAAATATTGCTGGAGAGGAAGACATTTCTTCTGGCATTAAAATAACTCAGAGCATATAATCCAAGTCAAACCATTTTTTTTTAAATAGAACACTTATTACTCAATAAATAGTAAGCCAAATAGGGTATCCACAGATAAACAATCAGGCAGTCACCAATAAGGGTGCTAAGGATGCCTTGTGGGCTTTTATTAGTATATTTGTATATTTTCTCGTGCTCTAGTAATAGAATTGGTAAGGATTTGAGAACCAATGCGAATTTTTTACCTTAAGACACAAAACTATTTAATATTAATAAATCAAACACTTTCAGATGTGTATTTCTTCGAGCGTTATGACTTTGGCCCTGAAATTTCAAAAATTCCCCAAAGTGTCCTGAACAAGTGCTGTTTTCCTGATTATAATTCACAAATGGACTTTCTTACTTTGTACCCTGAATCTTTTTTTCCCAATATCCATTCATCTTTGAATCGGATTTTTCATATACTGGAAGAAATTTTCGTGTGTAACAAATGAAAAAAAATATCCTTCGATACGGAATTTCATGTCCATAACCCTTAAAGGGTAATATGAACTAGGCCTTAACGAAATACTGGCCATTGGTTACAATTACATGAATGAAAAATCAAAAGTATTACTTACATATAATAAAGAATGCCTACCTCTCTCGTTTGGTGTTTCCAACATCGAAGTATAATTTTTCTTGCGTTTCAGATTACTCAAACGCTCGTAAGAGAGTAAACAAACAATTAATAATAAACATTCACAGTCATAAAATGAAAATGAGCTATTAGCATTAACGTACAGTTTGCTCAGAAGATAATACAAAAAGGATGTGACGACTTTTTCCTTCCGATTCGTTCAAACGGAAGTTCAAAGAAAAGAAAGCTTAGAAATTTTATATAAAAAAAAGGAATTTCTTCTTAATGTTGCCAAAAAAAAATTCCGACAATTAATATTTATCTAATTAGGCAAAAGTTATAAGTTATTCTCAAGAAGTTTTTCAATGTTATGCAACGCAAGTGAGGCACATAACGTGAAAAATAAATTATTAAGCGTAAAAATTATCTAACTTGACAGTCATAATTTAGGGTACGTTTTAAACCAGTTGAAATAAAAGTGTGTACCTGAAGCCAATGCCGGCATTTAGTTATATTTTCCCTGAGTTTTTATTAGCATTTAATGATCGCGGATATGATCATGTATTCGTAGTCAGATTCTCTTTTACTTTAAGAAAAAGCAAAAGCTATATTTACGATTCACAATCACAAATCAACGGTTATTACGCGATTAAAGACGCCAAAAATGGGAAAAGAAATACATCAGAGTTCTTATCTTTAGAGTAAAATGAGTCAACCGATAAAAATTATCATCTAATCCGAAAAAAAAATAAGTCTTACCATAGAAAATTATCACTATATTATTTTAAGAAAGTGTAGAGTGATTAGGTATTTTTTGAAGAGGTAGACTTGAAAACTGAGCAATGTCCTTGTCGGTACTCGAATCTGGATCTCTGGAATACGCATCGAGTGTGCTACCGTTATACTACGAACTCATGCTGGAAGGAGAGAGAAAATATCTTACATATTCCCTCTTTTAAAGGACGACTGGAGATTAGGGAGACCCAATCGCCAAATCCTGGTGGTGATGAATTATCCCCCACCACCTTTTAGTTCGATAGCCACTGTAGAGTGATTGATTTTTTTTTTTATGCTGGAGACGTGAAAAATGAGCAGTACCCTCGCCGGGACTCGAACCTGGACCTCCTGAATACGCGTCGAGTCTGCTTTCAATTACACCACGAAGTCATGCGGAAAGGACGGAGAAAATATATATTCCTCCTTTTATTTGGCGGCTGGGGATTAAGGGATCGAATCGTCAAATCCTGGTGAAGACGAATTATTGTTCGCCACCTTTTAGTTCAGGCATCAATATAGAGTTATTATTTATTTATTTATTTATTGAAAAATGAGCTTTGCCCTCGCCTCGACTCAAACCCTGTACTCGCCGAGTGTGCTACCGTTACACACGAAGGCATGCTGGAAGGAAGGAGAAAATACCTTACAGAGGACAGGTGACAGGTGACGGAGGACGGGGACGCCTGGTGTTTAACAGAGGTAAACAGGCATATGTCCCGCGCCCTCCCCTATCTACCGGGGGTTTATTGAGATCTTAAAAGATTTATTACATTGCCATACAGGGGCAGATGAGAGATACATTGGCTATTTATATTGTATTACAGATGTTAGGTTTGCAAGGTATACATTACATAACATACTGGTAACACATTTAAGGAAAAAAAAAATCATTAACATAACACATACATGACATGACACATAAATACTATTAATAAAGAAGGTACATGCGCTTAGCAGAAGGAAGATACTGTATTTCCTTAGATGCAGAGGAGTACTTACATTCACTTAAGCCCCTGAATTAGTGAGGTTGGCATAGGTCTTGCCCCAGGGCGGTTATCTGGCTGATTATTCTGCAGATGGTATTCACTGTGCCTTTGTTATTAACGATGAATCGTTTGAAGGCTATTTGGTTGTCTGCTGGCAAGTGGAGGTGATTATCCTCCGTGAGCGGGCATTCAAAGATGTAATGGTCTGGAGTTCCGAGCGACCCACAGACGCACAAGCCTGTATGAGAGATACCAAATCGCTCAAAATAGCTGGGAAAGGGCCCGTGCCCTGATGGGAGGTATGGTTTATTGGCGCTCCATTTTCACTCTAGGCAGAAATAAATTGGTTCTGCGACCCGTATCACAGGTCTCCCATTCAGCTTGCCACTTCTGCAGACCTTTTTCCTTAAGAGTTCTCTTGAGATACGAGGGTGGCGCTGGAATAGTTACCATCTGTGCAGCTATTTTGCTTGCTGCCTCCTTTGCCAGTTGGTCAGCTGTCTCGTTACCCTCGTTGTTAACGTGTGCCTTAGTCCATATTAAATTAGTTGTTAATTGAGTTTAGTTGAGGATGTGATTGTAGAATATTCTGGAGGTCCGCTACCAATGGGGAGGTGTGGTTATGGTTGACTAGGGCGAATAGCGTTGACATGCTATCTGTAAACAGCATTGCATCGGTGATCCCGCTGTCAATTGCATGCTGAATCGCAGTGGTAATGGCTATGACTTCAACCTGGAATGTACTGTTTATTGGTTGAAGATGCCCCTTCCACTCGATTTCCTTGCATCCTCCGTGGTACAGTACTTACAGAGGATAAATGATTCTTAAAATTATGCCACATACATTGAATGTTTCGTAGACTACGAATAACTAAATTTGAACGATGAAAGAACCTGAGAAGCGAGCTTATAGAAACAAACAGATGGAAATTTCATATTTTTCAAGGACGTGAAAACTTTTCCTTGTAACAGATGCTGATATTTTGCATGATGAAAACAAAAACACATAATTTCTGGCATTAAAACTGTCATTTACAACAGAATGAAAAGTTTTGTTACGAGTCCAGTAGCTTAATATGTTTTTTTTCTGTTTAAAAGCATATACAGAATAAATTTAAACAATCTTAAATAAGCTGTAATTCAGCCCTTTTACTTTCCTGTAGTAGCTTCTCATTAAATGATCATTAAAATAGCTGTGCCACCCAACCGGAATAGTGGTTAGCGACGCTGACTGCCCGTACCGATTAGCCCGGGTTGGAGTTCCGGAGGCTTGGATAAATGTATAGTGCTTGTGCGGCATGGGGGCTCTCTGAGCCGTCCCCCTTCGGGCCTGTCCTCCCGAGGTGCCCTTCATCAAAACTGGAGGCAGAACTTAGTCGTATCACCTATATGGTGCTCAAGGCTCTTGCCAAGGACAGGAGCAATCTGGCACTTCTTGCCACGATGAATTTAGTGGGTTTATTCTGATGTTACTGTCAGAAAAGTGAGGTAAGTCACAAAATCAACAAATATCTGTTATCTTTCTATACCTATTTCAGAAATTCTTCATTTTTAATATGAGAAAATGAAAAAAATCACTGGATTTACTGTGCGAATCACATGATGAGGGAAATTAAAATGCTTCCGTTAAAAAAACAAATAAACAAACCACGAAGTACTTTAAAAATGTTCTTTGAAATAAATACAATAAACTAATTAAATACTTAAGGGAAGAATAAACTTACTAGCTCTTTATGTTGACACAGCAATAACTAATTTACTTAGCATCTAAGAAATTATACTGTTGCATAGCAACTAAAGGATCTTAAAGCCGTATAAAACTAAGCAGAATTAAATAGTTTAACCGAAATTTAATTTAAGCACGACTTGCAGTAACATTGCTTTATTTAGTCACTTCCTAATGTTTAAATTTTGTGATCAAATTACAAGGTAACTGTTTACAGCAAAAGGGACAACTCACTTGTTCTAGTTTGCACTGTAATGCCTTCGCTTCTGAGATTGTGACTGACAGCATAGAAACGGAAGGAATACAATTCTCCTGGTTTCAGTTCGTCTATAATAACGTCCATCTTCTCTAACGGTTTCGTATCATTTGCAGCTACCTGAAAAACAGAGAGTCCACAAAAAATAGTCAGAAATCGCACAAAATAATAGATGCTGTTGAATATGATGTTTTTTAATGTTTTATGTATTACTTTATTTATTAAATATCACGTTCATCGCACTTAAGCCACATTAAATTCAAGTCAACAGTAATATCGCAAAGTATTTAAAAACAGCATATCTTTAGAATTTCCCATACACAGTCTCGAGCGCTGGAGATAAAAATGTTTTATTCCCTACAGTGTTGCCATTGCTGGCTTTGGAACAGTTGTGTTTGTTAATCAAAAATTCGTTAAAATATTACAAAATATGAAGTAGATAATAAAACAAATTCCAAATTCTAAATTCGGGCGTCCAGCTGCCCATGTTCGGGTGAAGGTGTCAAAATCTGATGGCTCTAGGTACCGTGGTTTTTTTCAAAATGCCATAAACATACATACATTCATGTAGATTCTTTATTATTTAATTTCTTTAAATATAATACAGGGCTCTAATATTTGGTGGCAACAATTTGAAAAGTGAAACGGACAGTAATTACAACGCAAAATGCCGTTACGAAACTAATAGCCTTTTTGGGCTACCGCTCCTTTCGCTGGAAATAAAAAGGCAAAAAATGTTTCGCAAGCTATCTTACTAAGAAAACTGAACATTGATATGATGAATTAAGAAAAGGCTGAAAAGAGTAGAAAAACATATGCTAGCACTTAACATTGAACTGGGAATTTTAAACTTATACTGCTATGCTGCCATTAAAATTTTTGTAATTTTGCTATTGAATTGTGTACGGCGTAAGTGAGAAGAAAATGGTGCTTAATAATAATAAAGCTAGCAGGAGTGTACGCAACAGCAGTCTGGACTGGTAGACTATGAGTTCAGCGAGAGCGTGAAAAACTTTAACAAATCCTTTTTTGGGCAATGGTTAAAATCTGAACATCTTTTTTAATTATAATTTTAATTGGATAAAATCTTATATATGTAAAAAAATCCATAAGAGATATTTTAGCTAATCATGATAACAACTCCTGCCTGTTGTTTATGTTATAGCTAATCCAAACGATGCTAATAAATACACTATTAACACAAATCCTTCTGCGTTTTCTCTTAAAACAAATATATTTATGTAAATACAACGTTTTCTGCCGTTAATGCAATGATATATAAGTTACAATTTCCATGGAAAAATAACTTCAGATATTGAATTAAACTACATACGCTTATTTGAACGAATAACGCATTTTGAATATCAACTCTTCTAACGTGATTGCATTTTAAATAACAGTTAAAAGCAAACTGACTTAGGGTGCTGACGTAGACTTAACATGTTTTTTAAAATTATATTCCAAAATCAAATTCATCTAGGGATAAAAAAATAAAACAATGAGAACGAGAAAAACAAATAAAACAATGAGAACGAGAAAAACAATTATATATATCAAATAACAGAAATTTTTAACACACCTAAAACGTATGGAAACATTGAAGGTTAAATATTTATCTGCCAATATTACCTGCAGCGATTTCTGATTCGGAGGTTCATCGATGGGATTGTAAATAATAATATAATAGTCTCTGTGTCCTTGAGGCACCTCCCACTCGAACGTGATGTTGTACGAGTCGAGAGCTTCTTTTACTTTCCTGATAGGTTTAGGATCTACAAAAGAAAATATCCTTCAGTAAAACAGGATTTAGATATACAGAAATGTTCCTTGAAATATTTATCTTCATCATATCACTTTTCCTTACTGCTGTGGATTACTTCTTAAAAACTTAGCAGCCTTCAATAATTCTATCAGTTATCATAATTGTTTTATGGTAATCTTTGAAATGTTTTAATTTAAGCTAGAAAGCTTATATTAAATATTACAATGAACAAGAATATTTTAACTAAAACGAACATTATTGAAATAAATGCAATTAATGATAATTTAATCAAAAATCAGCTTTAAAAAAATAAAATGCTTTAGTTCACCTTGGGATAAAATTGTCATACAAGCATGATCAAAATGCGCTCATTCGAGTGCTGTATGCAGCGATAGTTTCATTCTATTTCAAAGAAATTTCCAGTGTCGTTGAGCGTCTCAAGATGCCCTTTCGGAAGAAAAAATTTCTAATTTTCAAAATAATGTCCACAATGACTTTTATGTTATCTCCAATGTCCAATATAACTCTCTTTCCGTCATCTTCAATTAAAACTATTGTCATTTCCATAATACAGGGTTAGCACAAATGATTTCTTCATTTTGAAAAGGCTATATTTTCAAAAATACTTTACGTACACGCATGAAAGATAATGTAAAAAGAACCACAAATTCACCAAGTTTATATACCCTCTATAAATATTCAGTATGTACCCCTCTCGTGATACGACACGACACATCTAGACGATAATCGAGCTCATTCCATACATTTGGTAGTATTGTTGTCTAGATGTTTGTCTTGTCAATTGACCAGATGTTCGGTATATCACAAAAAACTGCGTGGAAGATTTTTCGTCAATGGTTGCATTTCAAACCGTACCATTTGTAGCTCCTGCAACAGTTAAAGTCGGAGGATTACGCCCGTCGACTAGATATTTTCGCGTCAACATTGGATGACGAAGATTTCGCCACCAAGATCATATACAGCGTTCCACTTATCCGGGAAACTTGGTGAAATAGTGAAAGAAACTTGGTGAGTTTGTGGTTCTTGTCATATATTTTACATTGTGCATACCCATAATACTTTTGAAAATATAGCCTTTTCAAAATAAATAAATCATTTATGCTAATCCTGTATTTTACGCGGATGATGCTAAAAAACGAAAGTGGAAGTTCAGTATCTCCCATTTAAAAGTATCCAAAGTCTGTCTCACCATTAAAGACGGTGCCGTGGAGAGAATGACACATTGACAGTGGCTACCGAAGCATTTTTAAATGTTGTAACTGAGCACAATGAAAAGCATTGATGCTATCAATAAATAAATTACACGTTACACATAAAATGCTGGGTGAAATGAATACATCATTAATAATGAAGCTCAATCAATAACTTTTTATTGGTTCATATAGACATAGACACATCATGCTTGCTACTTCATCGTTGGGGGGGGCTACATTTTCATAACCGAATGCAAGAATCAAAAACATCCCAAAACGGAAATTTTTAAACCAAATTTGAAATTTTTAATGACTACCCTAAGTAACTGTATTGTCAATAGAAAAGCAAATGATTATATCATTTCAGGCAGTCATAATTAACTCTATAGTCAACACTCTATAGTCAATGTTACGAATTTTATACTTCGATAGTAAATTTTAGTAGAATTATAAGTTATATTGTTGTATTTTTCATTGTAATGTAGAGCGAGACGAACTTTAAGAAAAAGCTATGCCGGAAAAGTAAAAATACAGAGGCAAGTGCATTTAACATTGAGTAAATGGGTATGGCGAGATATCGCCAAGCTGACAACGGTTTCGGTCACATATTTTGTCGCCAACTTTGGCGAGAAATCACCAATAGTTGCCAAATTTTGGGACATTTTGGTCCGAACCCCGTATTACCGTACTAGGTATTGTAATTGAATAAATGTAATTGACCATTAATTTAGCTGTAACCGTAATTTCACCTTTGTATTCTTTCCAGTAATTTCGAGAAGCAGGAAGTCCTAGAAACATCTCGTGGTCGGTTGAAAACTATTTAGAGCCGAAGAGATAGCATCTGTTCACAGTTGCTTAGTTGTTGCTGTGAGTTGTTTAGTTCCACGTGAACTGAGATATCCGAGTTAGCTTTCTCTTTAGGTGCCCTTTGTATTGCGTTGTGTTTAACGTTCAAGTAGTTTGAAGTGGAACTACTGATTATACTGTGAACATTTGTATGAATATACTGTGAATACTTGTACGAAATTCCACAGTATGAAATATTTCTTTGAATAAAAATAATTTTTTATTAACCTATTATCAGACTTGTCCGTTCAATCTATTACGAACACGTACGCAACAATAAAAAAGTAAATAATTAGACCATTCAGACATCCATAGTCAAGAATTCCACGATACTTCTGATTAAAACTTATCGAAATTTAAAGTACAAAAATGCATTTTATAATAGCTTTTTACACTCACGCCTCTCGTATTCAGTTTATGTCTATTCGTTGTTCTGCGTTGGCAACGCGCTTTTGAGTGTCGCCCATAGAATTCGATCTGTCGAATAATAGACCTATAACTGTTTTAATACTTATTTTTAAATAAATGTGTTACCGGATTATCATTAGATGTTTATGTATGGATATTTAATTGTTATAATGTTTACAATTTGATGTATATAAACTGGGAGTAGTTAATTTATTAAAGTTATATAAAAAATGAAGTTTCTCGTTCAGATTCGGCGCCATTTGATTACCGGCAAGTAAATAATATGTCGATGGTCTTTACTTAGTTAATTTTATTTAAATAACGGGATTTAAATTAAAAATTACTGTTTGAAATGTTAATATTTTTATTACCTTCGTCACTATCCAATTTATAGAGTGAAGCTCCACTTCATTCGAAGAGCCCTTGTCTTAAACTACACAATACGCTTGCTACTTTTTGAAAATTAATTAATGAATGGAAGCTCCCTCGAAAGTGCGCCCCTTCGGATTGTAACCGTATAATACCAGCTCTGATTCTCATATACTTGATCAAAAATACTTTTTTCTATACTAACACGTATCATATTTTATACTTCCAAGAATTTCATCCTTTATCAGAAACGTTCCAGGACAAAGGTCGTAAAAAATAGAAAATTGCATTTCTCAAGTAATGATCCTAGCTGCTATAAAAGTAGCCCCCTTGGCTATCTATACACAACTGCCAACTTTTCTGGAGATCTTGGAAGCAAGCACGAAAATCTTCAACTGCGATGCTTGCAAGCTCATTTGTCAGATCCCACTGGATGTCCGCAAATAATCTTGATGAAGTTTTCCTTTCAGTCAACCTTTTCATTCACAGAAACAAGAAAAAAAATCACAATAATCTTTGACAAATATGTGGGATCACGTCTTGAGTCTACCCCAATAGTTTAGCAGAACTTATTCGTCTTTCCTCCTTTGGTTCATCTGTTAATGAGTGAGGGACGATTCTTGCATCAAGTTTCTGTTTCTCTAAATCTTTACGTAAAATTTTTGATCACGATTCAAATTCAGTTTTTCTGTAAACGGGCGAACAGCTCTGGGATCGTCTTGCACTGAATCTCTGTCTTAACGAAACCTTTTGTGCCACTCCGAAAACACGACTTGTTGAAAGTGCCTCGCCTGCATATGCTTGCTTAATTATGATCCACGTTTTACTACAGGTTATCATGAGCTAACTGCAGGTCGTAATGTTCGCTCTTTGCAGCATCCATCGTGTCACCTTAACGAATGCGTCAACAATCCGAACAGTGTGTTGCTAAGCAGAGTCCAGCCCCTTAGTAAGTTAGCGCAGAAACATCGCCAAGGTCATGTCAAGTAAGAATACATACGAGGTAACATAAAAATATTTGTTCCATTTTAGTACTGCAAATTCAGAAATAAAAACAAAGTTGTTCTGGAACTTTTCTGACAAAGAATGTATAAAAATTTATGAACTATACATGCAACTTAAAATAGGTTAATAATAGCAATAACTTTCTTACACATGGCTTGCTGAATTTCTTCAGCTTCCAAACTTTCAACTTTCTTGCTCATTGTTGTTACTTGGACAGCATACCTCTCTCCAGGGACCAGGTCCTTAATTTCACATGATGTAGTATTCACAGTTCCTGAAGGTAAAAATGCAATTAATATTGATTTAAGCAAACCGGAAAGAAAAAAGCACAGAATCAGAGACGTATGCATTTAAAGAACTGAAATGGCACAAGTAGAAACATTACTTTTATAAACGTTAGCACAAATTAAAAGTCAGTGTTTGTTGAAATTTTAGCGACTCGAAATACTGGTTGAATCGATATGGACGTGGGGCCATCTGTTGCTCAAAACCTCAAACGCCACTCTTGTCTAATCTAGAATGTCTAGTGGACCTTTTATCTCGTAGACTATTTAGCGATAACATCAAAAGCCCATTCAGTAACTGTAACCGAATATCGGAACGTATTGGTCTTCTATGAGAAGGTAGTCTCTAAATTACATAACATTTAACTCCAACGATTTTCTTAGCTTGCGCAGTTAAAAAGCGCACTGTTGCTATTTCGCTGTTGTGCTAGGCTTAGAAGATATATCCTGTCAGGTTTATTCGTTCATAAAATATAGTTTCGTTTACTTTTAATTTCAAGTAAAGAGTTCAATACCTCTAACAGATACATGCTATGATTCTAGCAGCAAATTATTTGTGTTTCTGAAACTAAAATTGGTATCAAACGCAAGCAAAAGCTGTCGAAACAATAAGTCTCCGTAACATTTCTTGGAATCGTGCTTATTAAGTTAGGTTAATTTCTTCTGTCTTTTACTCCATTTCGGATAGACACTAGAATTCCCTTATCTCTCGCATTGGTAGAAGACGATTCCAATCTTCACTACTTTTCTGATGAATGAATTATGTTCCCGCTACCCTCAAAACCCCGACGGCCATCTTGTTAGACTTAGTACAATATTACAGTAGTAAAAATTATTATAAATTTTATAAATCAACATTTTTAATGATCTCGAACAATTTTTACTCTCGAAAATGGTCATGAATTTCATGTGCAAGTAGAAGCACTCAATTCACATAAAAAAATTCTTCTCTTAAACGCCTGGTGGGATCATTTTTCCTTGCCTTGTTATATAAATAGATATTTTTATTTTAAATTATTATTTAATTTATAATTACTCACTAATTATTAATAATTAAATACGTGTATTGATTATTACTTGGTTACAGTATTTTTCCTCTAGGAATTTTTCATTCTTTCTCTTCTTCTCAGAGAAACTATATGCATGTGAATAACGGTATATTGTTTTTAAAAAATGTGTCCCTACATTGAAATTTTTAAACAAGAGAACTAGACACTTATGCAATCATCATTGGAATAAAGCTATAATAACTGCATTCGCTTTATATCATCTATTATGCTAACTTAGGGCAATCTACGACTGTATTGCAAATAAATGAACGGTATGTGTTCATGGTGACGAGTTTATCCACTTTCAAGAACTATTCAGATTCAAATTTTGTTGAAACCGAAGCTGATTCAGTTTTTCCAGGCATAACAAACATGCAAAATTAGAGAAAATTCATTCTATAGATACACTAAATCAGTGGTCTCAAACTGAAACTCCACGCGGGCCAAATGCACGATCTAAATGTAAATGACAGGCCGCAATTAAAAAAAAAAGAACAAAGAAAGAATTTTTTTAACAAAGCAAAGCTCGTTAACTAAATTTAAAAATCTGGTAAGGTTCATTTTTAATTTCTAACTCGTTGTTTTAAGTAAATTACTTTTCTATCAAGCCTCGTTTCATTTCCCTGCAAAATGTAAATTTCCAGCGCGTGCGATATTCAAATTAGGTAGCATGAAGGACGAGTTTAAAGGAAGGTTTTGGAGGGTGAAATCACAGCGTGTTCTGCCTGCTTGAAGGCCACGTAGCTAATTTTGAATCTTTAGAGATTACATTTCTATGGCGTGAGTTCTAGCGCTTGAGCTCTAGTTTAACTGTGAAGCCATTAAGGTAGACTTAAATTCCATTAATTTTGAGTTTTTCTATTATATTTGATTTAACTCAATAGTATTGACTTCTATATTCGAGTTGGTGCCGTCCGTTAAGCTTTATTTGGAATAATGAAGAGGTCCTTTACACTCTTTTCCTGTCTCTGTGGTACTTATAATACGCAGTGAAATGTCACTAGCTGTCTCTTAGAGGTCTGGTCTAATTGTATGTTCGCGAAGAAGACCAGATACTATAATCTTTTATTGCATATTTGTCGAAACATACATATAAAAATCACGCAAAGAAAAAAATTGGATTTATACTTATTTTCTGCCTGAAATCTTGAAGATGGTATATACAAGAAATTTCTTTTGGTCCCAGTTTGTTATTCAAAAGCATTTACAGTTAAATATTAAGATTTTCAGATTGACATTTATTCAAATAACTGTAACATAATGAAGTAATGACCAAGTAACTTACTTTTAATTAAACTAAAGAGAAACATACGAAAACTTCCCAAGATAGGCAGAACTTTAGAATAAACAATGAATTTTATTCACTTTCTTTTATTTATTTATTAGATTTTTAATGACGCATACAGTAAAAAATAATATTTTCATGCAACTAATTATAAACTTCTTTGTTTCTTACTACACCTTTCAGCTACAACCCTTCATGGCGTTTCGATTTTCATAAAGTTTGTAATTTTGGAAGGAAATTACTAGAACATATCTTAATCGCAAATTGTATATACTCATTGAAATTCTGCTCCTTTTCGTAGATTTTTTTATTTTCAAAAATTCGTTATTAAGAATATTTATATTTTAGCAAATACTAATAAAAGTAATTTTTACCTTCAAATCTCTGTATAAAATTTACATTACAGTGTAAAATAATTAACCCCATTTGTAGATTTACCGGAGAGCTACTCACGTTCGTTTTTATTAATGGAATCATGAAATAATGTAAAACTGGACTCCTGTTAAAATCTGAGACTTTTTCTTCAGGTCAGCTCAGGTATAAACATGTAGAACAACGAAACAGCGTAATGTATTCTAAAACAGCACCAAACCTTTATCTTCAAATTCTATTCATAATAATGCTAATTAATTTACAGGAAATGTATTCTTCAGTCGCTTAAAATTGCTGAAGAGCTTGCATACGGCCAGTGGGCGGCCAGTTTGAGATAACCACTGCATTGTATGGTAAAATATTCATCTTTAATCAAGATATGAAAATGGTATCCAATAAAATTATTGAGATACACTGTTAGGTAATGGCAACACTAAGAAGGACGCATCCAACTGGATCTGTGACAAGAGTGCCAGCTGAAAATAGACTGACAGAAGATAATATAAAGCTTGTATAAAGAACTAAAAGTGTATCATCTCACGAATCTAATTCATGGAAGTACTTCTTATTTCTCATCCAATTTGTCAAAACCTACGGCAGCGATACGATCAGATTTTAAATTTCGAACATGGAAGAATAACATGAAGGGAAACTTTCTCCTCGAGACTTCGGTGCTCGTTTAGGTGGAATCAGGCTACAACAATGATAGTATAATTTTAGACAAACGAGAGGCTACATATTCACTAATACGAGGAATCCCACGTCCCTGGTATTCAAAGTAATAATGAAAAACATGTATGGTGCGTATGAGGTTACAGCCGAAAACATCGCGGACGAAAACATCGAAGAAAAAACAACGCAAGGCGAAAACGTCGTGCTACAAAACAACGTGGGAGAAAACATCGCAGTTCTAAAACATCGTGGTACAAAACATCGTCCTCGAAAATAAAGCGGTTCAAAAACTTCGCAGTTTGAAAACATCTTCGTCGAAAATATCGTGATAAAAAGTAAAGTATCTACAAATCATCGCATGACGATAACATCGCAGACATGCTTTTGTCAGACTTTAATAACTGTAAATAGATATTCCCATAATAATTTGTGAGCGCAAGCTGTAAAGAAGGATAATTTTTACTTTCACATTTTTTTATTAACTAATAAATTTTTGCTGAAAAAGTAAGAAGGAGGCATAAGCATAGAAAATTAAATGCAACTTATAGATTATAATTTTTATGAAAAATTACCAGTAAAAACTTTATAAAAATGATTTATTAATGGTCTTTGTTGGTTAACTATGTCGGTTTAAAATTCTATTAAGTGCTATAAGTTGCATTAATTTTCTATGCTTAAGTTTCCTTCTTATTTTCTCAGCAAAAATTTAGTAGTTAATATAAAATATGAAAAACAAATTATCCTTATTTCTATCTTGCGCTCACAAATTATTATGGGAATACCTATTTACAGTTATTAAAGTCTGAATAGATATTCCCATAATAATTTATGAGCGCAAATTATTATGGGAATAATTCTGAAAAAGCATGTCTGCGATATTATCGTCACGCGATGATTTGTAGATACTTTATTTTTTACCAAGATATTTTTCGACGACGATGTTTTTAAACTGCGAAGTTTTTGAACCGCTTTATTTTCGACGACGATGTTTTGTACCACGATGTTTTAGAACTGCGATGTTTTCTCCCACGATGTTTTGTAGCGCGACGTTTTCGCCTTGCGTAGTTTTCTCTGCGACGTTTTCGTCCGCGATGTTTTTGCCGCGATGTTATCGGCGGACACCGCATAAAACACCGAATGATATCTGGGTATCTGTCATTTGCTATTGCTGTTATGATCTGTAATGATCGGACTTTTTGACAACTGTACTTTTCTTGCCCGTGGTTTCAGGATGACTAGCACGCCAGATGAAGCATCGAAATCATGTGAACTTACGTAAACTAAATGCATATTCGACATCTCATCTTCTCAGTCTCACCACTGTACTGCGAAGCAGCGACTATTGCCACCTCATGTGGTTTATACGAGATATTGATTATTTTTTCATCCGCAAGTCGCACACTGGTATCTTTATAAACGTTTCGTCCCAACAAAATAAATTATATTTTCAACAAACATGTCTCATATTTTTTTATTCTTGTATTTCCTGTTCATTTAATTATTAGCTCTTTAATCTAATTCATATTTTAAAAGCTGGAAGCACGAAATAGAGTAACGTCTTTTAAAATGAAGAGGAAGGACCCATTGAGAGCACATATTATAAAAGGTGAAACTTGTAGAGTTCATTAGGTTAACCTATGTAGGAGACGATGTGAAAAATGTATTATGTCTTTGTCGGGATTCGAGCACCGAACCTGCCGATAGCCAGCCGAACGTACTATCCAGTTACACCACGAAGACAAGGGAGATGGAATTATCTTACATATTCCCCCCTCAAAGATCTGTGGGGATTAGTTTAATTGTCAAATCCTGGCGGTGATGGATTATCGTCCAACTCTTTTAGTTCGGGGGCTTGAAGGAAAAGCATCTATTACAAATTAATCACATAAAGATACTTAAAATAAACAAGCGTGGCATATTTTAAAATAATTCCCTAATACATTTACCCATTTCTCTCCAAAAGGCTGATCCGACCGGCTGGTATCTCACACTGAAATGGTCGTACAAAGAGCCGGATGGCGGACTCCACAAAACAATCATATTCGTACTACTCGCTTTTACCACTTGCAATCCTTTAGGTTTCAGTGGTGCTGGAAAATCAAAACATATATTAATTGTATTTACAAGCAATGATTCCGTATGGCGATACATTTAAAATAATAAAAAGACACTGTTAAGTTAGCAATAATAGATTTATGAATGGTACTGAGTTTTAAAGCACGTTAAAATTTTTAGCAGTTATTTAAAAAGGATTCTGTGTCGCCATGTGTTGATTGTGATAAAAAATTAAGTTAAATCATTATATTATTAGCTTTATTTAACTGATTTACAGATACTTCTTGGGAGTAACGGCATAACTGATGAGAAACCTTTAAAATATTTTTATATTAAAACATATATTGACTATTTAACATGTATGTCAAACTATGTAAGAATACACTATCGCAAAATTATTAACACATTTTAAAAGTTGAGTGATTGCTTGTAACTAATCCGTAATATTTTTAACAAGATAAAGAGAACAGAGTTCATGTGCAGTTCGCTTGCTGTTAGACATAAATTAATGCCGCTTCATATAGTATATTTAGTGGAAATAACACTAAGGTCCTTCAATCAGAAATTTAATATTAGAGCATAGTTAAAGAAATTATGCTTTGAAAATGCATATTTAGAATTGAAGATGAAGAACATCATTAAATTATTAAGGAGGGAAGTTATTAAAACTGCTTTATAAATTCTCTCTGTTATTTACTAAACATTTCTTGGGGAAAATGTTAACGTTTTCCGCGATGATAGAGGTCTAAAGACTTTGCCACGTTGTAAAACGTATGGACAGTCCCCTGTTCTGTATTATAACAGGATTATAAAGATTAAAGAAAAGAATAATATCTTTGGAATTACTTATGGTTGAAGTGGCGAAATCTTGGCAATTGATTGAAAATAGGAATGAATTTCATATGCTTGAGAAGAAAATTAACAACTTGAATTTGTTTCGTGGAAGAATATGGTTGTGTGAAACACATGGATGGTAGTTATAATTTATTATAACAGAAGAAATATTTTAAAATTGTAGTTTAAGCAAGCAAAACTTACGTATAGTTTGGAAATAAGAATGTGGCTCGCTCCACATTCCGAAACTGATGGCATAAACTTTAATTTCATATCCCGCACCAGGATATAGGTCAGAAATGACAACCCAGTTGTTCTTGGTTAATTTCTCCTGCAGATACCGTGTATCATTCCGTATGTACATCACTGAATATTGATCCTGACGACTGGTTACGTCAGATTTCCACGTAAGATTCCAGCCGCCGGCTATAGCAGGCTGCAGCAACTCGATGACCGGCGATGAAGGTTCTGAAACGAAAGATGGAGCTCATTTCAATCATAATTAATAACAAATAAGACTAGTAATCAAGTATCTACGGGTAACAGTGAAACGAAGAATAATAATGATCGCCATTAAAAGAAGCATAGTCACAGAACAAGCATAATGCAGATCATGTTTTATTAGTCAATTGCGCAAGTAAACGATTACTAACCTTAAATAATGTAATAATAGAATATCCGGTAAATAGAAAAATATATTGTCATGAATGTGCTACGATAGATAATTTTAGTGAAATTATATGTGAAATTGTTGTATTTTCTTGTATAACGTAACATAAAAATCTAGAGAAACGATGCTCTGCGGAAAAATAAGAATACAAGGGCAAGTTTATTTTATTTAACATTGAGTAAATGGTTATCGCATTAATTTGGCAAGACATCCGCAAGCTGGCACCGGTTTTGGAAACTAATTTCGTCGCCACATTTTACGAGAAATCTTCATACTTGGCGACACATTTATCCTGTCCTTGTATAACGGGGGGGGGGGTAGGGATGTTACTGCCTTGAAGTTGGAAAGGATGGATCTTCTGAGCCGACCACTTAATGGGAGAAGACCCGGGGTTCAATCCGGACTTTCTGAGACTGGGTGCAGCTGCTGGGGCAGTGATGCGCTACCTTATAGCTTCTCCTGTCCTAGTCCAGCATCGGTCCGCTCGTGGTACCCTCCGATTACCAGGTTCGCCTAGCTGATGATGTTGGACACCCGTCCCTGGGGTGCGACTGGATTGGAATTTCCAGAAGCGACCATTTATAGCAGCAGACCCGGGGTTCTATCTAGCAAACTGGCTGGACTTATGTCTAGACAGCTTCGACCTCTGGGGTAAAAGGTGAGTCTTCACAGGACTAGAGCCATCATTTATCGGTGCTTGGTTCAGGCTTGGCAGGAACCATACTGATCCTCTCTTGTCCCCCCCCTTGGTTGTGGGGATGTTACATGGTTGATGTAGAAGGTTGTCCGAGGTGGGATGGACTCCTGTCGGTTAATACAGAATCAGAGGAACGGTGATGTCAACATTGTGACTTTGTTGTTTGACTTCTGAATTAGTATTGTGACTTTGTTTTTTCGGTGGATACTTGCCGTCCACCACAGTACTTGAATTTTAACAGTGCATAGTGAATTATTTAAATCCCTCTGGATTGATTGGGCGGAGTGGCGCCCCCTCGGATCGTCTTTGGAGGTTGAGGCATTTATAAACCGTGCGAGGTGGTCTCGAACCCCCTCCTCTGATGTTTTGTCCCTGTATAATTGTAATGAATGTAATTGAATAACTGTGAATGATGTTTTGTAACCGTGTTCGGCCCTCGTATGCCTTACAGTAATTTCGAGAAAGTACTATAAATATACCTGAGGCCGGTTGGAAACTATATAAAACCTGAGGCAGCATCTGCTCTCAGTTGTTGTTATGAGTTGTCAGTTCAGAGCGACTTCGGAGTAGTGAGATATCCGTGAAAGGTTCGTCCTTTAGTTGCGATCTGCATTGCGTTGTGTTTAACGTTCTTAGTAGTTTGAAGCGTGGCTTAATGATTGCATTAGATAACCCTCACAACCCTCCTTTTAATATGGGGATTTATTTATGTTTTGGTGGTAGTTTACAAGTCAGGCAGTTTTATTATACTTAGTATCAAAGCAAATCTACTTTAATTACTTTTACAAGCACTAAGACCTGTAACATTCGCAATATTAAAGTTGTATCAGGAATTTACTGTATTCATATTACATTTCATTTCCATCTATTTGGCTGAAGAAGTTCATCAGAAAGGCTATCAGAAGTATTCCTGGAAATATATATGGGACGATTTCCTTTCCTTTTTAGCCAAATCAAGGTAAACTACGTAAAACTGTTAAAAATTAATGATGTTGACATAAGATTTTGAAGAAAAAAGTAATCGTGTATAAAAATCTGAAGCAAATGACCATATTTCATCAAAATTGTTGAAGTCTATTCCAAAATGTTATGTAAGATGCTCCTGATTACACTATGCATATTTTTGAGAAAATACTAACTTGTTGCCTGGTAAATTACAGTGTTTTCGCTTGATATCCTCTTGCTAATAGCAGACACACTGATGGAATAGTTTCGTCCTGGTAACAAAGACGTCAGGTTTATGCTTGTATTCTGTACTACTAAGAGACTACCACCACTATTGAAGGCTTCCATATCACTGTATTTAATCTAGAAAAACAAAGAGTGTATTGAATTCACGATAAAATAAGAAAAGCGCTACATATTACAAATGTACTTTCAAATGACAGAAAACGAATTTATATGAAGTTAAACGAATATAACTGCTATATACATTAAAAGTAGTCACATTTCTAATCAGTTTTAGTAAATATATACTGAATTTATTACCTTAAAATATTCTTTCAGGTTTTCCTCTTATCGCCTTCGTTAATAAAAAATAAAGATACTAGGAAAACATATTTGCCTATAATCGGAGTATCTTTATTCGAATTTTCAAGAAGCAAATATTTCTGAGTCAAAATTATTAAGTGGTTTTTGTAATTTCCAGCAGCAGAATTACTTTATTAACATTTCACACCTTATGCAGTAGTTTTTCAGTTGCTGTTTCAAACTAAGATTACAACATAGATATTTTGTAATATACATTTCTCATTCTTAATGGTCAAAAATCTTTTAGAATGAAGTAATTTACTTTAAGTAATCAAAAATCATACGAGTCATATGAAATATTATATCAGTATGTTAAGAAAACGTACTTATTTGAATCTTCTCTCCCAGTTTTTTGTAAATATAGTTTTGAATTAAAATGCATAAACATGAGGGTGTCGGGGACAATTACTCGAGTAATTTATCAATTTTACTGCAGAAATTGCTTTTCACTCAAAATTGAATTAGCGAAAATGCTTAATCGGAATGAGTTCTTTAGTGCTTTGCATTGATTCTTAATCCCTTCAATTCATGGAAATATTTGGCCTAGCTTGAATTGCCGGTTTGGCATTGCCTTATTACTTGAGTAAAGGACGAAACACCTTCGTATTATTAATTATTGTTCATTGAACGGGAGTTGGTTTGTTCCCCTTGAAAAGTCAACTAATTTCCGATCATTGGCAATGATTACTTGCTTAAATTTAATTACTTGCTTTTAATTTATTTCTTTTTACAATTGAAATTTTGTTATTCATGATTAAATTCAAGTCCCCGTTAAACATTTTTAACAATTTACATTCAAGCTGCTTTGGAGCAATTTTCAGAATTGAACTTGCTAACTCTGGATTCACTCTTTTAGGATAATTTTACTGGGGTTAAGCTTGAGAGATAATATAAACAATATTTCTTTAGTAAATAAATTATATATATATATATATATATATATAATTGAAAAAGAAAATGTAAAGCAAACAAGTAATTAGACGTAAGACCTATTTGGTCTTAAAAATTTTGCGCATATATATATATATATATATATATATATATAACTGTATTTAACCTCACATATTTCTTGTTACGAAAATAATTTCCTTAAAAAATGTTTTTTCGGATGTTATTCTCTACAGTCCTTTTAATTCTGGATTCTAAAATAATAGATATAAAAAATGGTGTCACGGCTATAACGGCAGGCAACATAACAATAAAAATATTTTAGATCATGAACACGTAAAAATCGTAATAGAAATTCCAACATTAAACTAACTTGCAAACAAGATAAATTGAAATTAATTTGGAGAAAGAGTTTTCACAAAAGATAATTACCCTGTATGAATCCTGAGTACTGTTTTTGCTCGGTTCCCATTTAAGAAATATTTCTCCAACGTTCTCAGACAAAGAACTCAGTATCCTTACCGGCAATGGCCCTATTGATAATGGATAATAAAGAAATTAATTTCAGTGTACTGAAAAAAAAAAAAAAAAAAAAAAAAAAAAAAAGCAAAAAATATGTAGGGTGTCCCAGAATTATTTCCCTGATTACAATTATTCATAAGGCATAAAATATGAAACAAAAACAAATACCCTTTATCTTGAATTGCATGTAACATATTCAAGTTTTTATGTACACAATTAAAAATTTTCTACGTGTGATCCTTTGTTCTCCGAAGGATATCCATGCGATATTCCAGTTCCATCCATGTTGCCTGAAGATTTCTATGCGATATTGCAGTTCCATCTATGTGTTGGTCAATATTACGTGATTGATGGATGTTATGACTACAGTAATTCTTCACCGAAATGCTGCGATGCCGTTCACTGGTATTTGGTAAGCGTGATTCTTGACATAACTCCAAAGGAGGAAATCCAGTGTGTTATGTCCTGTGACTGTGGAGGCCAGTTTATGGTAATATCACGCTCGAACCATCTTCCCAGAAGTGCTGTATCCAAATAGGCATAGACATCTAACCCCCAATGAGCTGGCCCACCATCTTGTTGGAAAATTAAGTCTGGAATGTCCTGAATCTGTTACACAATAAATAACTGCAACATATCAAGCTAGATATTAGCTCTGAGCATCTTTCCACTGAAGACTAAAGATCCTGTGATTTTACTGTGCATAAGACCACACCATACCTTCAGCTTAGAGCTGTCTCTGACGGTCTCAAACATAGCGTGGGGATTCTAGCACTGTGTGTAGTTCCCGCAGATTAAAGCGCTGTGTCGCTTGGCACCACGATTCAAATGAAATGTTACCTCATGCAAAAAAAGGACTCGTTTCAGATAGTCAACATCTTTCTCAATATAAGACAACATGGCAACAGCAAAGTCATAACGAGTTCTGTAATCCAACAAAGTGACACCAAAACTTGCAGCACCACGTCCAGCAGTATCGCTCTACATCCACCATTATGAAGAGAACCCCCTCAGATATTAATGGGATCACATATAGGCTCACACCAACCTCTGAAGCCCAGCGCTGAGTAAATGCCTCATTTTGTTCTTACACCCCAAGTGGCCACAACAGTGTTTATAGTTTGCAGAGTGTAACAGTCTTTGCACAAGTTTATAAGGTTACGTGTATTAACAATGGTTAGAGTTCAATAGTCGATATTATAATATAATACTTATGATTCTGGGAACAATTCCCAAAATAGTTCAAGTAATGTTCAACATACTATATATGCGCAGCAAATGTGCACAGCTAAGTTCATGGTACATATGACATTCATAAACAGAAATAAGCACAGAAATCTCAAGGAACAGAAACTATAAAGCAAAATATGTAATAGCAAGACTTACTTGTCGTAACGTTAGCCGTGACTGGCCAACTGGCTACATTGCCGCTGACAGTTTTGACGACCACCTCGTATGTCAAACCTGGTTCTAAATCCTCATCAAACGTGACAACTCTTTCTTCCTCTTTATTGATTAGGTATCGGACTGTATTGCGAATGCCAAGGGCGACTTGGTAGCGATCGAACTCGGATAAGTTATTAGGAGGATCCCATCGGACGTCGAACGAAAAAGAAGCCAGCCTGTTAGTGTCATATGTAACATTTGTTGGTGGCAAAGGAACTGTAAAAGATGAAATAAAATTATGAAATGCTTGGTGATTAAACCATTATTTTCCCAACATCTGGAAAGAAATTACTTCTTTCATATATGGACATATTTAGGTAAATAAATGGACAATTCAGAACAGGGCTTGGTTTTATGAAGAACTACATGCATGGTTTAATTTCAACGGAGTATGTAATACTCTTTATTTTTCACATACAGTCACTTTTCCGTAAAAGCCGAATCCGGGAAACTAACATCAATTAATACAGTCGAACTCGCTTATAACGAGAGCGAAAGGACGGTGATATTTGCTTGCTATAACCGAGTGCTCGTAAAAAACAGGACTTTGTTTTACAAAGAATTACATGCATGGTTTATTTTCAAAGGCGTATGGGGTACTTTGTAATATGCTGTAGGGTTTATATTTATTTTAACTAACATTTATTTTAAGCTATTTTTCCTGTCAAGCCTTTACTTTCCCCTGGAATTGCCAATGCCAGAGTATGTAAATTTTAGTAGAACGCGCAAAGTATTCAAATTTTCAGCGGAAGTATTTTTGAGTTAAATAGAAGGAAAACGAGTTTGTAGGTGTACTTTCTTGATTCACGAGCGTGAAGGTTGCTAGGTAGAAATTTAAGAACCGCGCGTTTCGGCCTGTGAGCCTACTTCGGCAGTTAGTTGAATCATTCAACTTCTTATTAAGAAAGTTTGCTGAAATCTCAGCTGTATCTTAGAACGCGGTTAAGTTAGTCACGTTTATAGAGCCTCGTAGGTAGTGACTTGTTATTTATTCATTTTTAGTTGTACTTTCTTATTTTATTTAACCGCCGGGTCGGCGTAGATTGTGAGCGTCAAGTGAACGCATCTATAACTTCTGAAGTGGAATAAAAAGGGAGTTAAACCCTTCTTAAGAGTTTGTGTAATTCCAGTTCTTAGCAGTTACTACTATTGTTACGGGCAAGTTGGGCCTACGCAACACCACAATGCAGCCACCTCTCCATAAGAGTCAAATCCGGGAAATTAACCATAATTAATACAGTCGAACTCGCTTATAACGAGCGCAAAGAAACCACGATATCTGTTCGTTATAATCGAGTACTCCTAAAAAACGGGTTCTGAAAAAAGTCATAAAAATTCATAAATATTTACTATATTTATATATCCTTATTTATTTTTTTATTTCTGTACAGTACAAAAGAAATTGGTTATTTTTTTTAAAATTGTCTTATTGTTTTTTTGTGTTATTTTTCTTCAGAGAAGACTCATGGCCCGAAAAACATCGTTATTTGCACCCCTGGCTTGAAGAACGTTCGAAGTTCTTCTGCGCACTCAAAATTCATTGAGAATGCTCGGGGTGGTTAGTCTTGAAATTCTTCACATTCTCGTTATCATAGCATCAAGATCAAGTGCTTACAAAAGTTTGATGTAAAATTTCTGATGACCCCTTGGGTCCATAGCCTGTATGACACTTGTAGAATTCGGTGGTAAAACTTCAATCTTAAGGTTTGTAAGCCCATTGATTTCGGGATGCGCTTTACAATTATCGGTTAAAAGGAGAATTTTATGCTTTCCTTTGATGAGGTACCTCGCCCATTTCGTAATTAATTTCGTGAAAATATCCGAAGTTCTCCCGGCTTTCTCGCTGTGGTCATAATCAACAGTTACGTACTTAAAATACCTAGGGTTTTTGCACTTGCCAATACCCAACAGCTTCTTCTTGTCAGTGCTAAACATATCAGAACAGACTAGCTGTCAATCGATTTTTGGAGAGCTCGCCTCGACGCACTTTTCACCTTTGAACTCGAAGGGTCCTCGCACGCGCACTTCACAAGATGCAAAAGGCCACCATCACGTACTCGCAGAGTTTATAACTCATCACTAACTTCCGGTTGACTTCGGAATATTAAAGTAATTTTTCGAAGAAAGGATTTGCTGAGCTGGACAAGTGGAAGCCAATAGAAATTTTATGAATCACAAAAATATTGCTCGCTATAACCGAGATTTGCTCCCATAGACTTAACATTGTACCAATCAAATATTTCCGATTTGCTCGTTAAACACAGGTTCTCTTTCAATCCGGGCTCGTTATAAGCGAGTTACACTGTAATATATAAAAACGCCAGCTGATATATTGTGATATATTGTTGAATGTTAAATGTCTTCGAGGAATATAATATATTTAAATTTTACTACAAAAACTTCCCCCCCCCAAAAAAAATTATCTTTAATGTTAATACATTACAAATGTAATATTAACTTTATTAAATAAGAGTTGGTATTGATCACCTAGGAGTCGATTAGCCGAATATACACCTGCGACTGATCAGCATAATTGAGATCCTACTGATTACAAAAAATTCTTAATTAAATTAACAATTCATTATTAATATTGAAATAAAGCTGTAAGAAAGGAAGACAACATAAAAAAAACTGAAATTATTTAATCTATTTTAAATATCAGACATATTTTTTAAATACATAATTTTTTATGCAATAAGTGGAATATGAAAAAGTATAAAGCAAGAGTAAAAGAGAAGGCACAACAAAAATACTAAAAAAAAAATACGAAAATACAAAACTAGAATGAAAAAAAAAAAAAAAAAAAAAGGTTGAATATTTCTGGAAGAAGTGATTTAAAAATTCAATTAAGAAATTGTATGATTAGTATTTAAAAAACTGCATCAAAATCTAGCGCAGATATCACATAATTAAAATCGAACTTAGAACTTAGAACTATGAAATTAGAATACGTGATTTTGTTTGTGAAAGCTTGTTAATATATGTAAAATTAAGAATAATAATAATTAAGTAAAAGGTAATTAGATATGAATATAATAAAATATTTTTCAAAACTTTTGTATTGTAAAGTTATTTGTATGCAATTATTTGCATTATGATTAAGTACAAATATTTATACTATAGCGAAAATTATGAGGCGGTCGATTAAAAAAAAACATTCCTTTAAAAAGGGATCATTACAAGAAAAAGGCTGGTCATCTCTAGTATAAAAAGTATATGATTATTGCTATACATATTTCGATTACAAATTTTCTGCAACATTTATTACAAACTTCATTTCTTGATTTTGATTTTTCAACAAAATTCATTCAGAGGACTGTTCGTTTGGTATGCCTTTTAAAACATCAGATTCTATTTTGGGAACAACAGAATATCAGCCCTATAAGAAGTACTCACCTGTTCTGTACTGTGCTTTAGTTGGTTCGCTGATCTGATTTTGACTAACAGTTTGGACGGAAATGTTGTAGTTACGGCCTGGCACCAAACCATAGAAAGCAGCTTGGGCAGGTCCTGGTGGGTCTCGCTCTTTGTCCACCAGCAATTCCGATTCCAATGCATCTTTCGGAGCAATACTCACACGATATTTGTCGAAGATTCCCGAAGGATAGGGAGGCTGCCACAGAACTAGGAGAGTAGTTTCGTTCCGGAACCAGACGATGAACCGTCCTGGTGTATTTGGTTCTGAGAGAAAAATTAATAACATTTCAGAAAATTCTCTTTGATATAAAATTTTAAGAACTTTAGAGTATAAACAAATTTTACGAAGCATTCAAAGCAAATCAGGCCATAAACTTACATTAAATCATACTGTGCAATTTGTTTATTGCTGATATAACTGAAATAATATAATTGGACATCAGCATATTCTATAAAGTTTTGTTGTCCACTTTTACGGAGTGATATGTATACTCGGCTTTTAAAAACAGCGACTATAATGCGTATAATTTTGCAATTTATAACCTACGATGGTCTGAGCAGAGAATACTATTAAATGAAGGCATAGCACTCTAGGCTTATGTGTCTAATGGGAAGGACGCTTTCGTGGAGTGATTTCTTCCAGATGTGGGTTTCTATATTTTCTCCTGCTGTAGCTTATTAAGCAGACGATATCAAAACTCGGAACAAACTTTCGCACGTACCACTGAGAGGGTTTTCGACCTAAGGTGATGCTTAACGGAAAAAAACCCACGCAGTGGAAATCATTCATTGAGAAGATCTTTTTACAGTGAAACTTTCGACATCACAGAACTTTCGACATCTTCGGCAGAACTTTTGACATCATTTTTATATGACCTTTTACATAATAGTGAAAGTTATTAACAGTCTTCTTTGAATTTACATGCTACGTCGAGCTAAATTTTGATGTACATTTCAATTTGATTTTAATAAATTTCAATAGTTCAAGATTCTATGAAAGTTCTGTAGTTAAATAAAGTTCAATAGATCAAAAGTTCTCAAGTTCCAAGTTCTTTTGATCGAAGATTTCATACATAAAATTCGATGTTTCAGATCATAGTAATTTCAGAGGGTCTTGATTAAATGGTCATAAAACAAATCAGTTCTAGTTTCAATTTAGATCTTGTCCGAATATTATAAACGGAAAAAACTATGAATATTCCATGATTTTAACTACTTGGCCAATATTGAATCTCTAGATGAAAGTGGAATGTTTTCTCGTGCTAAATTCATTGCGTACTGTCATTCGCGACCAGTTGGAGCAAATTCTACTTCTCACGATTATGAATTTGGGGTGGCATTGAGATTTTTTACACACAATTAGTGACATAAAAAGCTTTAATTTTATCATTACTTTAAGATCATTCGGCAACGCCCAATTAATTTAATAAAGGTGGAATTCAATTTTAGGTGATAATAAAATATGTCGAAAATAAATCCCCATATATCTGAATGTACTGAATCTTAGTAAGCAAGCTGTAGGCCATGAGTTATTCACATTAGTCTTAAGTACAGCCCTAAGAAAGCTGATATTAATAGCAAAGAAACAAACAGTAAACACACAAAACAAAACAAAACAAACAGACTTAAAAAAAAAAAAACAAGCTGCATTTTTACTTGTAGTAAAATTGGTCGCGACAAACACTGCAGAATCTTGTCCTTGGAACACGGAGTAGAGCTGAACCTCGTAGGATGCGCCTGGGGTCAAATCAGGAAGGAAAAAGTTGCCTCTAAATGAAGTCTGCGTGATGTAATGGTTTCGAACTGTGTTGTCGTCTTTTTCAGACAGAGGAACCAGAATAAGCTTGAATCCAGTGTATCCACCCTGCACTGGAGCTTCCCAAGAAGCTTGGGCGCCTTTGCCACCTAAAACGGTGACTGTTAAGTTCACAGGGGGATCAGGAGCTGAAAAGGAAAATTTGCCATCGTAAAAATTTGTCTTTTGTAACTAAAATAGATATATTACATAGCAGAATAATAAATATTAGCGTCACAATTATAAACCGTTTTTCTATCAATCTATCTGTCGATCTATTTATCAAAATAATAAATATTAGCGTTACAATTATAATCCCTTTTTTCTATCTATTTCGCAGTCTAAATATTTATCAAAATAATAAATATTAAAATTACAATTGTAACCTCCTTTTTCCATCTATGTAACTCTCTATCTATTTATCTATCTACTTATATATACAGGAAAACATTATCATAGGTAGGAAAACTAAATGAAAATTTAATAATTCATTGTTTAAAAAATACTTTTGCCTTAAAACAGCTTTGTAACTTATGTGATTATGGCAAAGACTCGAGGGCCTTAAAGTAGGGATGCCTTCGTGAAGGAATTTCAAGGGGAAACTGGCTCGCATACACGTTAAACATGGGAAAAACCACTAAAACGCTCATGCATCCAGCAAGCTCGCGGAGTTCGGACCGAACCACCAGCGTTCAGCGACTTTACCCCTTGACAGCTGGTGGGCCTTAAAACAGTTTAATTTATATTATTAATCATGGAGCTTATTTATTTTTATTTTTCTGTTTCTTGGTGGAGAGGGAAGAAATATTGTTTGTCTAACTTTCTAGTGCATAGTAAATATCAAATCTAATTAATCATGTACAATTGTAAACATGTACAATTGTAATCAAACACAATTGTAGTAAATCATATACAATTGCATTAAACCATATACAATTGTAAATTGTATTACGTCTATCAAATATAGAAGCAATAATCTGAAATCTATTTTTACAGAAAAGCAACACTTGCTAAGGAATAATATCTGTGATAAAGAATAACAATTTTGTGTGCAGTCAACACTAAATTAAGCGAGATAACATCGGCTAGGACACCCGCTGTTAACTTAACATTACGCTTAATCCAATAACAGTTAAAAAACCAAATCATAAAAAGAAGAAGAAGAATTCGCATTATAATTAACAAAAAATTCTCAGTTTTCCTGTAGTTTTATGCACCTTAATCTGGAGAATAAACTTATTTAATTACATAAATTAAATCAGTATTAAAAAAAAATAACACACGGTAAACAACGAAAGTAAAAACATTAGTAAAAATAAAGGAGCTATGCTATAAATGGCATTATTATTATTAGTATTATATTTATTAGGTGTTCTGCCATTAAGCTCTACAGAACTTAAGCAGTCTCATTGAATTCTAGCTTGCATGAAGATGTAAAACTTTCTTTATTTATGGAGGGGAGTGATAGTAATTTTTAATTTTTTTTCTCAATAAGAAAATTTAATTTAAAAAAAAAAGAAAAGAAAAGAAAAAAGAAAAAGAAAATCCGCACCTCAGTTAATCTATTCTCGGTAAACGGTAACGCGAATGCTAGGATTTTACACAAACACAAAAGTGAGAAATCATAAACTGCACAGTTTCTAATGTAAATAATTAAGCAAAACAGCATTTGGGATGAAATAATAATAAACTGTTAAATAACAGGGATAGGTAACGGAAAACGGGTTAAAATCACTTGATTATATCGCAGAATAATGAGTTTTATATATGAGTTCCACTACAAGAAAAGGTAAGGAATTTCTTTTCAAAGAGGTGCAATAGATGGCAGCACAATACATCTTAAAAATGTGCTATTGTTGATTTTTTTTGCTTTAATATAAGTTTAATATCTATGATTTACTTACATTATTGAACCTATTCACACAGAAAATAATGATTTTATTGGCTACTTTAAACTAATCAGCAGTGTGCATTTTCTTTCGTAATGCCTGAGAGCATACGTGTCGGTATGGCTTTAATAAAGCGTGCAAATTATAATCATCTTAATACATATATTTCCGTTCAACAAAAGAATTTTATTATTCTTTTCCTCACTATATATTAATCTCCTGTTTTAGGAGAAAGAATATAAAGCGTAAGTTTGTGGAAAATATCAAAATTTGGAATTAAGTCTTGAATTGCAAAATAGTAATAGGACGAAACGTCACATTTATATAAGTACGCATTAAAAAAGTAATCACAAGACTGTTTATGATTTTTAACTCATTTGAATGTTTTAAAATTGCTAAATAAATAAATGCAATTATATTAATCTTCAGTGTCATTCAGACAAGATACCAACTAATAATAATTTAGAAGTCAAACAACAAAAATCAGTGTTATAGTATTTGCAAATTTTCACAGGAGTAGTTTCGATGGTTTTAGCGAACCATCACCGCAGCTGCCAAAGTGCACTTTATCAATACTTTCAAAGTGCACTTTGGCAGCTGAGGATAATGATTCGGTAAAACCTTCGAAACTACACCTGTGAAAATTTGCAAATACAACGCTGTTTTTTTTTCTTTGTTGTTGTTGTTTGACATCTAAATTAATATTTGTTCGGCGTGTTATTTTACCTTAAGGTACCCAATTGTACTTGTACTCACTTGTACCACAGCAAGAGCTGCGGGCACTACTACTACGTACTACGCTGCTCGCTTTCACCCCTAATTTTGAAGGAGAGCACACCGGAGTGACGGCTCGAGGGTCTCTCACTCCTCTTCCCCTGTCACCAACCTCTCGAGAGGACTTCCAGCTCGCCACATATTTTGAATGTCCCCATGCCGCACAGACACTATACATTTACAACCATCCACGTCGTCTCCGGGATTCGAATTTTATTAAACGGGAATATTTATTAAACGGGTATTGAACACATTCTGCAAGGGCGTTTAATAAACACAGATGCATTCGTGGAAGTTTTTTTCCCCTTCCTTTTTTTAAATTTCTAAATACTTTAATAATTACAGTGTGGAATAATTGAATAATTACACTATGCCAAAATGCCTTAAACTGATGAGTTAACTGTGACCGTGAAAGCTTACAAGTGCTTTTTTTCATATATAAAAACATTATTAGCCAAAAAGACACAGCTGTGTCATACTCGGTTGATGCCTTTTCTAACGCTGTTGTAGCTCCTTATGTACCAAGTTTCTAACGATCCAGGATTACTCCAAAAGCCATAGATTCTTATTCCTATGTGTCTATACATAGACACTTCTTCACTCACTTCAAGATTATCATTAATGTTCAGATTACAGTGTAAAACTGTCAGCAATTTTCTTTCATCCTTTATTATACACTTTTTTATAATTACTCTAGAATCATTGAATCGTTATAGGTGGCTACTGGTAAGCTGCTTTATGTATTCGGGATTAATTTAATGATTTTCAGAACTAGATAAAAGCGTATAAACGCGCTCACTTAAAATATCAAAACAATAATATTAAGCACAAAATGCAACTCAAATATTACAAAGAAAATAAAGAAGCAACAGTTAACAGCCGTCTTTCTGTTTATAGATAATTTTCCACCGTTCTTTACACAGCTGCTCGCCCGATACGCGAAACAGCAAAGCAGAAGCAAATATTATCTTACTTGTTGGCAGATTTGAGGACCACACGAGCTCGTTCTGTACAGTGGCATTGGAGAAATATAAATGGAATGCGTATTCTGTGCCTGGAAGGACGTCGTTGATGGTGATGAGTTGATTGATGAGGGATGAATCGACAGTGAAGTTTGAGGCAGGGAATCCGTTGGATAGGCCATAAGAGACCCGGTAGATACCCTCACCGGAAGATGCCACTTCCAAGGGAATCCGGAATTTCAACTCGGCACAGGAACATATCTGAAAGAAAAATATATATATATATATATGAATGACAGCCGGAAATATCACGCAAAATTTACGTAAAACTCACGTAAAATTCACGTAAAAAGCCGGAAATATCACGAAGAGAGAAAACTTTTACGATTTCCTGAATTCGAGGGAGTCTTTTGATAGGTTAGTGACGTGACATTTGAATATCAATTTAACTTCTCAGGTTTTATCACTTGCAAATGGTTCTAATATGAATAAGTATCTTCTAAATATTTTAATAATTTCAGAAAATTTGCAAAGATTATATGGCTGTCCCATCAAGAAATACTTTCTACTTGAATTTATTATTCAAATTATAATAATTAGTTGAAGTTAATTGACCAAGTTTTAGAGGAAATCAGTTTTAAAATATTAACAGTTTCTATGATTTCAAAACAATTACGCCTTTCCCCCCAAAAAATCCTCTTAAAATTTCTATGAAAATGGAAAAACGGTACGTTACGTTTAAAAGTAGAATCTAAGCTGCTCCTTAATTTTTGTAGAATTTTAAACTTTTTAACAGTTTCAATGATTTAGAATAAAAGTATGCACAGATGTTTAAATGAGAATATCCTATTTTAAGATGATGAAATACAAAATGCTTGAAGTTGAAAATACAGTATTTTGAAACTTTAGAGTCTGAGCTAATAGACGCTATAAAAGTGAAAATTTAATTATTTCTAACATTAGAACACTTAACTAATGCTTTAATATGAATTATTTGTTCAAGTTAAAGTCACAATAAGTAATACAGTGACATCGTTTTTAATGAAAGCCAATGCACTGTGATAATACCTTATTTAATTTCAGTGTTTTCGCCTAACTCTTCTGGCTCACCATCGGCCGAGCGGTAAAAGTCGCTGAACACAAGTAGTTTGGTTCGGAGTTCGAATCACGGCGAAAGGGCTGGCTGCATGGGCGTTTTCGTGGTTTTTTCTTATATGTGACGTATATATGAGCTATTTTCTCTACGAAAGTTCTCAACGAAAATATCCTTTCCCTTAAGCAGATAGCCCACGAGTGTTTTGACGTAATTAAATAAACCAAACCTAAACTTTCTAAATAAAGAAATATTCTTAGTATATTTAATCATTTTAATGCATAAGTGCAGAACAATCAGGAAAATACGTAAACCTGAACAAAACAGACTACAAAATATAAAGTTTGTTATTGAAAAGAAATTTTCTCTCAAGTTTTCTGCAAAGAATATTTTAAAGAGTTTCATAAAGTATTCTTCGCCACTCGATAAAAAATGCTGGAAGAGAAGGAAACTTTCTTCCTAATTGATTTTTAATGGCAAAATTCTGCTCCTGATGTGAGTGAATACCTTCATTATGTATTTATTTTTAGATTATAATTGCCATATCGCGAACTTTAAAGAAAAGAAAACATTAAAAAAATGTACGCTGTACATTTTTGATAATATTTCGAAGAAAATAATACCAAACGCTATTTCAGCTAATAATAATGATTTCATGTTGTTATTCTATTAAAATTAATGCCTATGACGAATAAAGTTTCTTAATATTATTACCAATATTCGAATTCTTGTATGAATTTAATAGCAAATAAATCAAGATACGTTAAAATTTATTCCTTTAAAAAACTATTTATTTTTAGTAGAGCTGACACTAAACGCATCGAAAACGTATTTCCTAAAATTATTTAGGCCATAACTTTTACTTTGGAATTTTTGAAAGACTTCTTACTTCTTACTACGAAACTCGAAAAGAGATGGAAATAATGAATATAAACCTAATAATAATATCAATTCTCACACAGTCGTTTTATGAAATACACCAGACTGTATTACTCCTCCCAATCCCCCCCAAAAATATGCTTTGCTCTGCAATGGCATTTATTTTGTGAAAGTCGTGAGGCTTAAGTGATGTAATGATAATATCCTGTTGCAAATGTAAATATTCTGTTACAAATGTAAATTTTCATGATCATTACTGTATTGCAGTTTCAAAATATAGGATATAATATTAATCAATTAGCAATTAGCCAACCAAACAAACCGTTGATCTGACCAATAATTAAAAAAATTTCATAAAATCGCTTCACATTGAGTATGTTAGGTTGTTTGCTATCACAATAATATCAATGCTGTCAGTGTAATATCATTTAGTAGACGAAAATTAATGTGGTCACATTTGTTCAGGACTATTTTTGGACGACATTAACTAATAGATAACATTAATCCTTTAGCGCCTAATGGGTCGTGTATGTCTCATAGCAAAATCAAATAATTCGAGAGAGAAACGCGTCTATTATAAATGCGCGAGTCTGTCCCATTCGAATACTAGACTTTGACCAAAGGTTTCTCGCCAATTTCGCAATGTTCTCTCAGCCAGTCTACAACCAGCGACAAAGCGAACGTGTCCTAACCTAAAGCTGCGAATTTGTTTAGCGTTTCTGATGCTTTTTTACCGTAAATCGGTAGCTAAAAGTGCGAATTACTTTTATGGTGTTGCTAATATATTTTTATTCCTTTTGTTTTGTTGAAATTCTCAACATAGGACATTTACTTCCCTCTTGAATTCTCACTGGGGTAAATGCGTTCCATCTGGTTTTTGATGTTTGTGTGCTCAAAAATATGCATATGTATTCATTTTTACTTCCTTGTAAAGGAAGTATTGTAATCACGAAAAAATTCCGGGTACCATATTTCAACGAAAATATCCATTTTCACCGCTATCGAATGCAATTTAACGATGTTTTTGTATGACATCTCTACGTAAAGACCGAATAAAGGCCTCTCTCTCCCAAACGAATTATAAAACTGATTTAAAATGGATTCAGAAGAGATATTTTCGTGACGTCTGTACGTACGTACGTAAACTTCTCGCATAACTCAAGAACGAGTAGCCTCACAACGTTGAAATTTTGTATGTGGGACTGCTATTGCATGTAGATGTGCATCTCACTTTTTGGTTGCAATCGGCCGCATTTGCTTTAAAAATAATTGAATTATGTTGTTCTTATCTTCCGGTTAAGGGTGTTATGCTTTCAGTTAACCTGCATGTTATAGTTGTAGAATTATCAACAATTTAAAAGAGGTTTAAGTACGTCCAAGCCTAAATTTTACCATGGCCTTTTACCTTCTTTGGCGATTTTACTTCAGTTTGAAAAATGTATTCCTCAATATTTTGATAACGTTAACCGAAGTGTTTATCATAATAAATGATACATTTTCCATGTATTTGTGCGGAAACGTGAGGGACATCGCCATTTTGAGAACACTACCCAAACGACAACATTCGCCAACCAGTGACCGAGTGGTAAAGTCGCTAAATACTTATACTTCGGTCCAGGTTTCTAATCCAGATGAACGAGCTAGCCGCCTGAGTAATTTCATGGTTGTTTGTATATGTAACGTGGTTTCGAACTTAAAACGACTCCACGGGCCACTCCTCCTTTTGCTGGACATCATCGTTTGACTCGCAATAATCAATTTAAAAAAAAAAATCCGAAAGCTTTCAGATTTTATATTACAATTTTACATTTATATACTTATTACTATATTTTATATTTTTTAACGTTTTGTTTGTTACCTTTATTTATTAAAAATCATGTTCTTCGCACAGAACCATAAATTTCAATTAAACAGTAATGTCACAAAGCATTTAAAAACAGCATACTTAAGAATTTCCGATGCACATCTTCGAGCGCTGGATATAATACTTTCCCCCACCCGTACAGTGTTGCCATTGCTCGCTTTGAAATCGTTGAGTTTGTTAATCTAAAATTCGTTAAAGTTTCGGAATCTGTGAAGCAGATAATAAAACAAATTCCAAATTTGGGTTTCTAGGTGCCCAAATTCGAGTGGAGGACTACGTTATTCAGAATTTGATGTTTCTAGGTACCGTTGTTTTATCACAGTGTGAGAAAGACACATACATTCATTCAGTTTCTTCATTATTTAATTTCTTTAAATATAACGCAGAATTCTAATATTTGGAGGGTACAATTTGAAAAGAGAAACGCCGTTTTATAGTGGGCAACGCAAAATGCCAAATCGAAATTAATAACCCTTCTAGGCAAATTTCCCTTTTGAACTTAAAAAAGGCGATTACACTAAAGCGGCACGTACTGTGCTTTCTATGATGACAGTCATTTCAGAAGTGTGAAAGATTCTTTTTCCAGAAGTGTTGAGACTAGTAATTTTTCAAGCAGAAAAATATTTTTAAGTGATCCAATAAATGAATATCAAGTATAGTTCTTTCGAGAGCCGCACTATACTCCATGACGCTACTCTCCCTGAAAATTAAAAATTGCTTGGAACAACGTGTATGATAAAGTATTATGAATATTCATACTTATCGAATCTTAATTAAGAAGTATTTCCCATAAGACAAAGTATATTCATAATAAGTTCTGTTGTGAAGAAAGTTAAGAATAAGATAACAGACTACCATGAGTTTAATATCAGCGACTCAGGTTTTTGTCTGTTGTATTATTGTACTTCACAAACAAATAACCTCTCTCATTAATACCGCACAACCGAGTAAAACCGTTCACCCCGCCATCCGGCAACTTTTACCTTTTCATGTGGTTCTATAAAGACCAGTTTTTTATGTATTAAGGCCATTTAGTCAGCTAATTTTACAGGAAAGAGCAGAAAAACAAATCAACGGGGTCTTACACTTCCTACTCCATATTAAAGATTAAATTTTAAATCTCCACAATTTACTGAAATTTCTTCAGGTACACTGAAAATAATGAACATATGGGATATAGATGTTCCAGTCCCCTGGAAAAGGTTTTATGCAAGAAAGCTAAAATTGCATAACGACCCACTACTATAATTCACAGCATATCTTTATTTTAACACATGTCTTATAACAGCCATTAACAGCGTAGAATTTTTTTGTATTTTATACCCTTAATCCATAAACGATATTTTAAATGTAAACTTATGTATTATACAGAAATATTTGACAGAAATGAGCTGCATTTTTAGCAACATGACAATTTAAAATGTG